TATAAACATAACAACCTGAACTGACAACAAACGCCACAGACATAAAGTACATGAAAGCAGGGGAGACTTAACATAGTGGAAAACACGAGGGGAAAATAACTAGAAACACCTAGGCATGATAATGATAAACTTAGGAAACTTGAAGGCAACAAAGAACTAAACACAAAACGCTGGGTCAGAGACCCAGGCCGTAACACCCGCATCTGCTGTTTAACCATAACATTTAATGAAATTCACCTTCTCTTAACTTAATTATTTATTTGATGCCATAAATTTCACACTAATGTTACAAGGTGGAAAAGCAGAGAAAGCAGAGTTAAACTGCAGGCACAATTTATACGAGCTAATCTCAGCTGACTAAAAAAACAGACAGCACTCACCCAGCTGTGCTTTACGTCGCAGAAGTTCAGCAGAGCGCCGCCTTCTGGCATTGCCTGGACACTGCATGGCTGAGGGAAGAAGAGTAGAATAACATTATTAATCTTTGTATACATAATCAGGGTTTAAGGTGGGATTTGTGAAGTGTTGAGACATCTGGCATGGTGGTGTAACACAGGGAGAAGAATAAGATGCGCAACTGCACTGAGGTTTACTGCTTTGCATGGATTTAATTCAATTTATCAAGACATATAAGGGGACAAATTGGCTTAAATATAAACGGATACCTGCTACACTTAATGTAAAAAACTGAAACTACTTGCCAGTTATACCCTAATTTCAAAACAACTGTGACATTGTTTAAAATAAACATAAAAATGCAATGATTTGCATTTTTCATTGTGAATAAAATATGGGTTTATGTGATTTCCAAATCATTGCACTGAATTTTTATGTACATTTAGCTAAATGTCCAAGTTTTTATGGAACCGGATTTGTATAAATCTTAGTTTTAAGTCAGTTTTAGTATACTAACTTTTAGCTAAACCCATGCATAATAGAAAGCACTGTAATATACAGCACTGTAATAGACAGCACTGTAATATACACCATGATGACCCAAGTGATGAGCAGATTGTAGAAGAAATGGCCTTAGTAGATGTAGAAAGGTCTGATTTGCGGCAGAAACATGGTCTTCAGCTGCTATAAAGGTAAAGAGGGACTAAAAAGTTTAAACTTTCCACAGATGCTCCATGCTGATAGATACCTTGCCTATTTGGGGTTTGAAAGCCACTGCTGGAGGAGAAAAGCAGTCCTGCATCTTGAAATACCCCCTTGGCATCTCGGCCTCCCCCTCGTGTGCAACCAATATCACCGTGCTCGACCACGTCCCAAATCTGAGCAGAGGGTTCCATTAACAAAAGGTGAAAGGACTTCTGCATTGCAATTGTCTTTTTCAGTCTATTATCAATATTATAAAACAGAAATTTTCCAAATCCAAAAAAGCACACCTTCTTTTGCGTGAGTCTGTCCCTGCTGAGAAGATACACAGCGTTGTCCACGGCCACCAGGCTGACCTTTGCCCCCGGGTCACCTCTTATCTTAAAGCGAAACATCTTCCCAGGAAGGTAGTCTCTGGGTGCGCCGTCCACTGGCCCCACTGTGAGCTGTAGCAGAGAATGAAAGCAAAAAAAACCAAAAACACACAAACAGAACCATAAAAGACTAAAGAAAAAAAAACAACTTTTGTTTGTTGGTTTTCTTGTTATCAGAAACATTTAAGAATGCAATAAAATCATAATTTAAGACTAGTTTAATAATGGTTAATGAACACACCCGGAGTAACTGGGGGTTCAGTGTCACGCCCAAGGATACTCTGACACACAGACTGAAGGTGGCAGGGTTTAACCACCAACCCTCCAGCTGGTAAACACTGTACCTTCTGAGTGAGTGAGAGAGCTGAGGACTCACCCCTCCAAGACAGGAATCCACCACATCTATCCAGACGGAGTCGGACACCACCTCCTCTCTGCCCATCCAGGGAATAGTGTAATACGCCACAATACGAAACGATGGCATCATGTCTGGTGTTACCATCAGCCCGATGTTGGTGACCAGCTGACCAGTTATATCCATGCGCCCGGCTTGCATGATTTTTCCTTTACTGAGAATCTGAGAATCACACACACACACACACACACACACACACACACACATATATATACACTCAACAAAAATATAAACGCAACACCTTTGTTACTGCTCCCATTCCCCATGGGATGGACGTAGAGACCTAAAAT